TTTTTACGCCACTTACCCATTGTCATCGCAGAAGTTAAGATTCAACTTCTTCAGTGAAACTAAATCTAAAAAAATTAATATTTTTATATATTCACGACAACGGAAAAAACGTTTTCTTCAGCGATTCTCATCAATACTACAAGTATGCGTTATATATGCCAGCACTCACTAACACGCAAAAGAATAGTCCATAGATCTGTGGACTAATCAATTGTTTAAAAAACCGCACAGAAAGTATTATAGATCTATGAGTGTTACTATTTTTTGGATGTAAGAGGATGTTATTCGAGAATGTTAGATGTTTTCCATCATTTGACAGCATCACCAAACAATTTGACGATGTTAATTTATGATGGAGTATTTGTAAAATACTGTTATTTTGAAAAATTTACAAATACTTCAATAATTGTAATCGTACTGAAAAATGTTTGACAGCTCTAATCAGCCTCAGCAAATAAAAATTAAAAAACGCAAGAACAAATGAACGATGTGAAAAAAGCGATTAAACTAAGCCTACAGAAGTGCAACAGACTCTCAACACTCTTTATTCTGTGTCTACTTAATTTTCAAAGAAGTATGGATTTTCTTATATTGTGTTCTTATTGCGATAAAATGAGTAAGACAGGACGTAAAGTAAACTGCTTACTTGTTTTTCCTGATCGGCATTTTGACAATATCCGTTGTACAGCACCAGTATTAGTGGATTTCACTGCTTCGAGCAATTCAGTTTCTCTTTTCATTAAGAAAAACAATAGTTCCTAGAAAAAAGATAAATCATAGCTTTAACAAAATTTTTCCGATCTTATATGTTTTAGAATAAAAATGAGCACAATGAAACATTTTTTTTCCGTTTACTTCCTTTCAGCTTAGCTTTGGTTATAAAAAATGTAAAAAACAGGCGTAAGCTTCTTCTTAGCTGCCTCTAATTATTATCAAGCAATATACAATATTACGAAGGTAAATAAGGGTTATTTAAAAAATCAAGAGAATCGTCTCTTCTAAATTTTGGGCAAAAACGATGTCGTCTGATGTTAGGCACATTGCTTTTCTAATCTCTGAATCCTCTTACTTGGCGCCCCTCATTATTATTAGCATATTTCATTTTTCATCTTTTGTCTAACGAAGAAATCGGGAAAGAAAAAACAATTTCTGACCAAAATTTTGCCCTAATGCTTTTCATTCTCTCACCCATGGGCAAAAAGGTCCTTTTGATGACAATTACGGTGTCATTACGCGTTATTTACTGAATTACACGTTAATTTCGTTAAATAATAATCCATAATCATACGTTATCCTTTTACGACAGTTAACGCATAAACTTCGTAAAACATCAACGTGTGCTTATGTATGATTGAATTAACGGCAGTTATACATAAACGTCGTCAAAAAACAACGTGTAATTACCTAAGAGAGCATTTACGATAATTTACATATGATTTTCATTAAAAACTGATACATAATCACACACTATGTCTTTCTACGGCAGTTACACGTTAATTTCAATAAGTGATAACATGTAAACATAAATTTCTGCGAATCTTTACAGGTTAACTGTCATGAGACATATAGAGTACTTATCTAGCAATAATCACTTACAGATAAAGAAATAAATAATAAAAGAAGTCGATTTGTACCAATGGAAATTAAATTCTCTAACAAAGAACTCATTCTTTACTCACTTAAAAACAAATATATTTTTTGAAACAAAAATCGAAACTAACAACGCGTTAATGGTTACACAATATCAACTATTTTTCACAAAAAACTTTTGCCCATAGGCACTATCATATGAACGTTATAGCTGCGAGTTACACTATGCGCCAAATTCAAGCAAGGGATAAGCTAACTCTACTGTACAGCTCACTCGCCATTTTTATTGTATCTGTTTGATGGGAACGGTTTTGATTGTATTAAAAATAAACCGATAGAAAACAAGCTTTGAACCTCTTATCTTCAGCCAGAACCGTAATACCATGACATGTGCTTTTTCTCTGTCCAAGAAATTGTTTGAGTTTTTGGATACAGTCAGAAACTGATTTTATTTGTTAGTTCATTTAACGATGAATCATTTGTTATACAACTCAATCATAGTCTCTAGAGACAGGAAAGCTACCGTCTATTTAGTTTAATAGTAACGATGACAAAGCAGCTCTCAATTGTTACTCATAACTGTTTTTTAGCGTTACGCAAACTAAACAGTAACCGTCCTATTCCTACTAATCTCCTAATATGAGGGGCCATTGTAATAATACGACGTACATTTGCACAAACACAAACCATCACCGGAGTATTACATATTAATCGTCGAATAGTGTTAGTACGAATCAGAAACAATCTTACGGATTGCGAAAACAATTGGTTCAATTGCACGTGCTAGAACACAAGCCTGACTGTAAGAATTCGATACGTTTTCCTGATTTTGACGTTTTCCGTTTGCAGGGATAATATAGAAGCCCTTTGCCTTCTATTTGCTGGAAAAGACCAACAACTTTTGAATTATTGAGAGGAGAACAACCTCAGCATCCTCGATGGTCGCGACACTTCTAATATTTCCGGGTATTGCTAAAAGACGCGAACACCCACGAACACCCCAAATTAAAATCTGAGTTAGCCAATCGATAGAGCTCGTCGAGCTGAGTATAGCAACGCCTAATGAACACCCAAAAAAGTTTTTATAGTTTCGCTTTTTAAGCCTACATTTTGAATGAACACCCAAAGAAGAAAGGGTAAGAAGTTCTTACCTCTTATGAATTCTCTTATGAATTTGGTACACTTTTTTGGGTGTTCTTACTAAGAACACCCAAAAAAGTGTACCAAATTCATCTCCAGGTTATTCTGGGCTGTGGGTGAGATGTGGGTGAGCCTACCAGTACCTCACATCATCCCCACACCCACACCACACCCTCAGCCCAGAATAACCTGAAGATGCATTTGGCGTACTTTTTTGGGTGTTCTTACCCTTTCTTCTTTGTGTTCGTAGGTGTTCTTTGGATGTGCGTAGGTGTTGGTGGATGTTCGTGGGTCTTCATTCAAAATGTATGCTTAAAAAGCGAAACTATAAAAACGTTTTTGGGTGTTCGTTAGGCGTTGCTATACTCAGCTCGAAGAGCTCTATCGATTGGCTAACTCAGATCTTATTTTGGGGGTGTTCGTGGATGTTCGCGTCTTTTAGCAATACCCAATATTTCCAAGTTTATTGTGTTGAAGGCAGACGTTAATGGTATAATAATTATCATTTAAACCATCATATGACTTCTAATAATGATAATACGCAAGCAGTGCAAGCATAGGAAGCGTTTCAAAATATATTCCGGTCGGTCACTCGGTTGCTGTTCTAAGAAGAGTAAAAAAAGGTAATGCACGAAATTTTCTTCGTAATTTCACTATTTCTCATCCATTTTTAACTCAACAAATCCGATATTAACTACGTTGATAGAGACGGTAATTATGTACGCACTAGCGCAAAATAAATTTCTTGAAAATTTTTGTTGGCTTTCCAAATATATTCAAATGGGAGTCGAGTGGTTGTGATTGACTCTATTTACACCGTGTGGGGTAAAAAGAGTCAATCCATTCAAATACATGAAGATTTTTAAAAAGCATTCTAGCTCATTAACGATGAATGCTAATTAATTAAAAGTTATATCGTTGTGAAGCTCTACTCTCCCTCTATCGAACCATATAATTTTTGATCTTCATATCTGTTATCTTCATTAAGCTAATTACACCACACATGTGTCATTTTTTCAATTTTTGTCTTCGGAATAAAAAGCGTCACTCGTTCCTTTTAATGGGATTAAAAGAGTCAATCCGTTCAAATACATGGAGGTTCCAAAGAAGAAACTGTATAGACTTCCCAAAATCGATTTTAATATTATTCTGAGTATAAAAGTTGTTAATAATATCGTCATCTGTAATATATACGAAAACTTGCATTTAATTGCTAAACTACAATAAACTGTAAAAGAAATGTGTCTATGATAGGGTGATAAAAGAATAATCTTTTGACACATACCGGTTAATTGTCTTTGAAGAAGTAATCAAATCAATTAGTAAAGAAAACGAAGTATACGCTTATATAAAAAATATTAGAAAATGAAGTGTTGTGTAACAGCGGAATATAGGAACACAAGAATAGCAGAACAGCGACCGGTATAGATTTTGAAACGTTTCCGTAGTATGTAGTATCAGCCATTTTCCCAATAGTGGAAAAAGCAGATAAGTTTTATAAGTTAAGCGGTGGCAGAATTTAATACTTTAGAGCCAAGAGCGTTTCTTTCGGCCGGTATATTTTTTATGCAAACATTTATACTAGGAAATGCAAAATTCTACCCTTTATATTGTATGTAATTTAGTGCGACATCTCTTGGCAATTTTGTGAGATTCTTCACGTTTCTGTGAGCACATTAGAGAGAGATAAACAAAAAGTTATAGTATAATCGTCGGCAAATGGTTCGTAGTGCGATCTGTCGACAAAAAAAACTACAGTCGTATTCCTGATCAGAAAAAAAGACTATGAAAAGGTCTTTATACTCGATTTTAATTCGCTCATATATAAAAATATCCTTTTATTTCTACTGGCCAATTACAACTCGAAGAGTTAATCTTAATTCTAATTATGTACTCTCACGATCCCGCAATCATTAATTAACATGCTAATTAATAATGAAGTTGAGTAAAATTTATTTGAAAGAGAATCAGTGCTTCGAAAATCTTGTGGAGTTTATTTAATCAAAATTTTTTTAAATGGATTTCGGATCAGGTCACGAAGTTTGCCTTGTTGCACGTGCTCTCTGAACTGAAACTTATTTTAATCTAAAAAGCTCGATTATTGTTCCTGAGTTATGTATCAATATTTTCCCTTGAAAGATCCCAGAAACACAAAGATAACTTACTTGTTATGACTTTTCAATTTCGGAGCGCCACAATCAATATCTTTTTACGTTATGTGTGTGGTTCGTGTTACACGATATATGTGACCCGTCGGGGAACAAGTTTGGATGCCATCGATCAATAGAGCACCTGTTGAATTAGAAATTGCAAGGGATGTAAGTTTTAGGCGGCATTTATTGAGGGATCTGAGTTGCACTCCGGACAGACTGAATCCATTTTAGACATCCGGAGATAGCTGTTGTTTTGTTTTTCTTCTGGTTCGTTTTTGTTACTTCATAAAACGATATCTTCCTCTATCCGCCTGTATTTTTCCTTAATTTTTCGCTATCGTCTTGTTTTACCTCGTCATTTAATATTTAATCCGTGATATACGCTTGAGGGACCTGCAGCGTGCCGCTCTATGTTATGGAGACAAAAAGTACTGTCCATCGAAAAAATGTGTTTTTGTGCCCAAAGTGGCAAAAAAAGTGTGAAAAAATCGAATTCTTTTCAAAGATACTGCCCATGAACAACTCTTGATTTTTGTAATACGTCCATTTCCATGATCATGTTCAGCTAATGCAGAGCTCTAAGTACACTTCTAGGTGTTTCTTTACGCTTTTTTTAGATAAATTTTATTGATTTTTATCGTTTATGACGTGATGTATGCGATGAAAAGGTATTGAATTTGTGGTCATAACGACAGCTTTATATCACAGTTCATTTTCACACTTTTCTTCAGAAATGACAAAAAGCTATGCCACCAAATCACGAAATCGTCGAAATCAGTTTAACATGCGAAGGAAACTTTCTTGATCCTACATTGAAGAAAAAATTATATGATATTAAAGACAAACTGCAGCATATTTTGCATACTGGTAATATAAATCTTATAAAATTTCAATTGAATTATGTAAAACTTTCATTGGTTTTTTAATTGTAGGCCGCCATCAACGTTTCGAACTGAAGAAAATTGAACCTTGGAATAGTGTGAAAGTCACATTCGACATCCCCAAAGAAGCAGCTGATCGTCTAAAATTACTTGCTATCCAAGGAAATAAACGTCTCAAAGAATTGGGCATATTGTCTGTTGAAATTGGTCATTCGTCTACTATTTCACTGAAACAAAATGAAAGCGCACGAGATACGAACAGTAAGACTTTTAGTTGTTTGATGGTAAATAGTTGCCTCTTTCAGCTTCCACACGAAAGAGGAACTTTCTACATCCAACAGTCACTGTATTGTTCATTTTTAGGTATTGATCCACAACGAAAATTATCTTCCAACTCTAGCACTGCTGGATTATTATCCGACAGCTTGCAGCAGTCAGTTTCTACTACGGCAGCGACTCTCTCAGCGCCACAGTTACCATTTTTCGGTGCAAATAATGACACAATCTCAACTGGACGAAGAAAAGGGACAGATCAACAATCAACTCAGCGTCGTCGCGCAAGAGATCCGTCTACAACAACAAGCCGAAAAAAACGGACGAAAGCATCTAATTCAAATGCCCAACAAATTACAAACGCTATTGATTCAACTATATCAGAAACCAGATTTCAGTCGTCTGCCTCCGATACAGCTGTTTATAATAACAATACTACTACAAATAATTCATTGTTACCAGAGTCTTATAATCGATCGCTATCGTCGACAAATATTGATCAGTATGCTAATTCAAACGCTAAAACCGGAACAGTACCATATTCAACCAACTCAGGAACAATTCATGGTCAAAACCAACACCCTCAACGAACGACAACTGCAAACGATATTAAAACTGCTTGTCCACAACAAAATTCAACAACATTCAGTAGACCATTATCAACATCAGGAACAAATCAAAAATTCCAGTATATGCATCAACCAGCGAACTCTTTATTGGTCACACAACATCAAACAACATCAGATGATCTGTCATCTAATGGAAGACCGATGCAGATAGGAAGTACACCCGGTTATCCCACTCCTCATCCCCAACCACAGCAACAGTTTCATCATCCATTACATCCGCATTTACAACAACACCAACAAAAGTCAATGTCAATGCCAATGTTTAACTCGTCTCATCCAAGTCATCAGAATGTAACAGCTGTTTACGTTAGAAATAATAGTCAACCATCACAAACAAGTCCAGGTCCAATGAGGCAGAACAATGTTACTCCTAATATGGGCTCGTATATCAGTAACGCTGAACTTGCACGTACGTAAATAATTTCAGATTGGAATAAGGCTAATTGTTCGGTAAAAACAGCTGAAATTAAGAAAGTACTCCAGCTACTAACTTTACAATTTATTGATCATAGTTGGTAATTATTTTTTCTACAGTTTCTGTTTTTCCTGTTTCTAAGAACCGTTCAGCGTTGTTTTACATGTTCGAAAACTAATGATTAGATGGTATTAATAGAGCTATTTATCATATGTATTTAGGCAAACAAAATTTGCCTCGTTCCGCACCGACAAATTATACGAACAATATTGAGATGAATGGTGACCCGTTAAATAATGACTTATGGCTATCGTATCCTGATCAACAACAGCAACATTCAATTTACAAAACAAAAGTAAATGGTGTACATACATCTCCCCCATCATCCACAATGTCACTGAACACACCTCCGTCACCCGATTACATTCGTACATTAATGTCTAATAATAATGCAATGGTTGACCCTCAACAAAGTGGCAATCTTATGTTATCCGCTTCACCTCATGGACAAACAAAATGTAGCAGCGTTTCCTCATTATTTTTTAAACAACAACAAAATTCGTCCTACGATATGATGTTACCGTCGCCGAACACGAGAACAGTTTCCTCAGCACCGTCCTCAAATTTTAATCCAAATAATGCATCACAGATGTCAACAGTAAATAATGCGAATACTGGACGTACTTCAGCCAATTCACTCGTTGGAGTTTTTGGTAAGCATCATTTTGTGCTATTGAAAGTATCGTTTCTACAATCATCATAAAATACGCTAAAACTGCTCTACAAACTTGAAAATGTTAGAATTTAGCTTTTTCTAATGATTTATATTTCTGCTTTTCTGTTTTAGATGGTTCTCAAAATCAGTCCACAGGCTTTTCCTGAGATTTAACAGTGATTGCTTGACTGTATTGGGAAACGTAAGTTTTTGTTTGATATCGTCCTGACGAATGATGTACTATAGAAGCCTGTCCAATTACCCTTTTGATAAGCTGATTTTGTTGTAAGACGATAAGTGTTATGATTCTCAGTCGTACTCGTGAAATTTTACCAGATTGTACTATCCGTTAGTAGCTTCCTTTTATTTGATATTACAGTTGACTTTCTCACTCTCGTTTCTAGTTTTTGGCTGTTCGTATAAATATCGTCTTTATCTTCGAATGAGTATGTGTTACTTGGTCATACAATATGGATGTTTAATTCAAACAAACTTGTCTTTTACCCTATTCAGTTATTATCTAAATGATACATGTAAATATATTTTTATTTGATTGATAATAGAACTAAAACTATAAAGCACAACTGTGCATGACTTTGGCGAGGGACATAATGGTTTAACTGAATGAAGAGGAAGACAACACAAAATTCAACTTGTGTTCGTGTTTGCCTGCTTGTTTGTCTTTTGAGTTTTTTACTTTTCTTCGCTTCGCTTTCTTTTTCGAATACCATATTGCGGTTTTTTGTCATTCGTTCTTTTATATCAACTGAACAAAAACTTGTTGCTGTCATGTTTTTCTCTTCGAAAGCTAAACATTGATATGTAAATGTTGAGTCCGTCGAGCACTAGAGTAGAAACGGATGCCATCTGCCGTTGCGATGATGTATTTCAATTTTAATAACAGTTTCGCTTGTACATGTACATGTCTTTTCTTTTTGTTGTTGTTGATCGTGCTTTTTTTCTTGTACAAAATTTTTTACTCATAAAGAGTGTGTTAAATAGACCATAAACCCACCGGCTCGCCCGATTGCCATTTAAACGAGTTCTCTCTCTCTCTCTTTTTTTCATGTATCATTCCAGCTCATCCTTCCTCTGTGCTGCTCTTTTCTATTGTATTGATCCCACATTCATTTGGATTTTTAGACAGCTTAGGCGTGTTTGTTGTAGTTGTTCAGAGCTCGTGAATGTTGCTGTTGTTATTGATAAACACTTGTGTGTTATTCTCAAGTGTCTTTGCTTTTCTTTACTATTTGCCATAAACTTTGTTTTTGTTTATTTGTTGCCTTTTTATTCTGCGTTGTGTTTAACATAAATAAATACACGCTTCCAAACAGTTGTACATACATGATGATGATGATGATAATATATCTTCAAACAAATTTTTTTTACTATTATGTATTAAATATTGTTTTTCGTTTAAGAAAACATACTTGGAAGCATCACAAACACACACATGCTCATATTTGAGTATTTATCTATATGTCTTTTTGTATTTGGTTTTTATTCTAAACATTTTTCTTTCTCTCTGTTCTGTTTTTCTTTTTGTCACAAAAGATGAAAAATAAATTAGTTCCTCAATTGATTTGAACTGACAAAAAAATCCATAATGACATTTTAAGTATCAAACGGGTTGTCATACTCTTTCGATCCTATTGGAAAATTTAACCAAAGCGTTGATGATAATTGTCTGATATATCGAAAATATAGAGGCCGCATTTTGTACTAATAAAGTTGATACTGATATATATATATATATAACTTCATTTTAAATAATTGTTTTATTTTTTATTGTTGCTCTCTATTCAATTCTCTTAAACAAAGCGCATATCTTGCTCACACACAAACAAATACAAGCACACAGAGTTAATAAATAAATATGAGAATAGATAATACCAGTAAAAACACAAACGAGAAAAAACGAACAGAAAAAGTATAGCAGTGTTGTTTTTTTCTCTTCAACTAGAATTTGTTAAAAACAGAAAACATAAACAAGAAAAAATATGCTTTATACAAATATACCGATTTATTGCGTAACTTTCTTTCTTCGTATCGAAGAAAGCTTATGTGAAAGAAAGAATAAGTTGTCTTTCTTCAAAAATCGACATGTAATAATAAATTAAAAAATGGCAATCATTATTCTATTACCACTGACCCGACTACTTATTTACTTTTTTTTACAAGTCGAGAAAAATATATATATATATGGGTCAAAATAGATAAACTGAATTCAAACAATATTTAATCATTACGAATTTCTTCATTATTTATTGACGAAGCCATCGTGAAATGCTATTGCTTGATTGAAGAAAATTCTAAACACGATGAAACAATTGTTGATGTTGTAGATGACGAAGCAGTAAGAAAATTTGGTGAGCCCAATAGCGACGCTGCAACTGGTACAACTGGTGTCGTTGTATTGTCATTATTCATTGTGGATGCCATAATTTCAATAATAGACGCTGAAGACGTTTCAACGCTTGGTAAAAGTGATGAATCATGAACCATTGTTTCGGATAATAGTTGATGTCTAAACAAAAGAAGAGAAAACTTAGAGTTTACATGTTACTGCAATTAGAATAAGCTCTTTTCTGAAGTAAAATATAGTTCGAACGTTTCATAAAAGAATAGAATCCACGCAGCTAGCTGAAACACATGCAGAAGCTTGGAAGTAAAAGCACACATTCTTTGCAAATGTTAAAAATTATTGTCTTTTACTGGAAGTTTTTCCGGAAATCATCGGCTTAAATCGAACTATTTATTGTTAAAATAAGCTGTATTTGAAAGACAAGAATACATTCAATCTATACTTTTTAGAAGAAATAAAAAAGCTAATAAAGCGAGCTGAATAGAAAAGTATTTGCTTATAGCATAAAGCGAAGAATTCGTTGAACTGAAAACCAATGATAGGTTTTCATTAATACATCACTCTATGACTAAAAGAGACTGTCACTGTGGCAAAAAAATGAAATTTTTTTTAAAGATTATTATTGCAAAGAAAAAGAGCAGATAAATCAAAACACTGATACAAAAGACGTTAACGTTTAGAAAACGTAGACTTTCGTCTTAATATTTAGCAACGGTCTTAACAACAACCAAAGCGAATGAATAGCAGCATTTTTACACACAAACCGCGCTAAGCAAGAGCGTATATCTCAATCAACGAAATAATGTCTTACGTTTTTATCTAAATATAAAACTAATGTTTCTCAGAAGCGTTCACTCTGTTTACTTGAAGAAATAAAAATATAGAATGAAATAAAACAAAAACGTTCTTTGTAAAGAAGCATTATCTTACTTACTTTAACTTTAATCGGATACTTTCGTCAGAAAAACTAACATTTTTTTCACTTTGAATAGGTGAGCTAGCACGATTTGTGTTTATTATGATTGTTGTTGCATTAGTTGTCTGACAATGATGAAAATGAGGTTGTTCGCTAATAACTGATCGTGCGTAATCAGATGCACTACTTAATAAACTGCTTTTACGAGTGTTTGAGCCGTATATATAACATTCACCATATTCACCTGGTACAACACATGCATCTCTAAATGAAGAGGGCAAATATATAGTGAAAATAAAAAAATTGAGATAATAGCTTTCGAACATTTGTTAAATAAAATCGTAAATATTTACTTGATTGAACCAGCTAATGCTTTTAAACTATCCATTGTTTTTGATGATTTCTCGCTTATTGTAATACTTTCAATATCGTAATTTTTACAGTCATTCATTTCTGCTTGTACTTCAAGGCTAACAACGAGAAATGACAAAAAATTAAATTAGACTTTAATTGTGACATCAATACATTACCGATTAGATGCAGGTAGACTCTCACATATAGAGGCACCAGCTGTGCCAGCTAATGCTTTTGTACTTTGACTACTACGATCATCTATAAGATGATTAACACTGTTCGATAAACTATTTGACATTCCCAATGATCCATCACCAGTTGTTGGATGTGTAAGAACACTTTGTGTATCTAAAAATGGAAAAATAAATGAAACAAAGGATAAACAGCTGCCATTTATCGCGTTTCTTACCATTTAGTATGGCTCTTGCAATTGCAACATCACGTATATTGAAGGGTAGTATATTATCATTATTTGTTTCATTATCGTCAAGTAAATCATTTCGGTTACCACGACAACCGCCTGTACGACATAATGATATTGGAATAACACCATAAACGTATGCTAATAAAATAGGTACTCCGATACCTGAACAGAAACAGAAAACGATGTTTATTTCCTTCTCTCGTCTCTCTATAAAACATACCAACGGCTAGACCAGCAATAATGGGAGCAGCTACAATACTTCCAAGAACTCCCAATGTGACAAAAACATTTCGTTTTGATTTACTATTGCCTGATTTATTAAACTTTTTAAAAATCTAAAACACAAATTATTTGTTGTCATGCTTTATTCAGTATAAGTGTAATATCGTACCCTCCTTCCAGCCCATATTGGCACTCCAATAAAGATTGCTGGGACAGCTACTCCTGCTATTAATGCTATACCAACGGGAGCGCCTATCAACGTGGCTAATTGCCATAGTATTACTTTTTTTCGTGACCACTGTTTTTTTCCCCAAAATGTACAACCAGATGGGCTAAAATGATACTCTTATTTTAACTTCGATGATCTCTTTGAAATATAGTATTATCAATTACCTCAAATAATGTAAATCTGAAATTTCTTTCATGCATAGCCAACAAAATTCACACTCACACATCGGACATGTCATATGGTTCTGAAAAAAAGCAGTAGAACAAATCTAATCAAGCGTTGAATAATAAACACGACAGAAATAAACACTTACACATGACCCATCATCCATTTTTAATATTGATGCTTGACAGCGTGGACACGCTTTAATTTCATCTCCTAAGAAAACAGATGGATGCCCTTATAATCATAATGTTATGAAGATAGAGAAAAGATAAATGATAAACGAGCAACTGAGATATGTAATTTCTCAAAACCTTTTCCTTCTCAAATACTCATACTTCTTCGAAAGCCTCGAAGTAAAAAACTAACAATTTCACGTCAATAGATGGTTGAATTGTTGAAATACAAGTCTCTAGCGTACTAATGCAAAGAAACAACACTTTTGTTTCACCGAAAACTTTAACAGGTAAATGCGAAACCAAAACTTTGTTTCTGTTATTGATTGAAAGAACGCTGCGTCAGACCAGTCTTCTGGCTAAGACAGTTTGATAATTAGTGAAGAGATGATCTTCGAAGGCTATTAACCGCAGAGAAAACGGATCAGATTAGTCGTCGCTGACAACTTTAACGTGTTAGAATCCTACAGCACTGACAGATACATATCCTTCAACTCTAGCACAACATATCTCGAAGACATACTTTGATGAGCAGATATGATGCTTATAAATGAACCTGAGCGTAATTTGTTTGATGTTGACTTTTCTCTTGCAGCATCTTCACATGTTTGATTCGGATGCCACAGTTGTTTACAATGGTAGCAGAATGATGTGTTACATCCTGGGCGTAGACACTGAATTTCAGGACACGAAGCATAACCCGATGCTATTGCAGCAAATCTAAAATTTGTTTGAAAGGATAGTAATGAGACAACGGTCGAAAGACAATGTTGGTTGTCATAGGAGATGTGCTTACCCGCAGTCGGGCGACGGACACCACCTTGTATCTGGTATTGATTGTAATACTCTTCTGACCATAAACTCTTCATATTTTCGTATCAAATCTGAATTTTTAGTCAGTATCCGATTAATATCACATGGATGAATTTTTTCTATACAGTCTGCTTGTGGACAACTCAGATTCACTCGTCCTTCAGTTATCTCTAATTTTAAATAACTCTTTAGACAGTTTTTACAATATGAATGTCCACACAAAGTCAATTTACTAAATTGATCCCATGTATAATCGTAACAACATAATGCACAAGTATGGGGCTGATCATTGTCCAACGAATTATTGTTCGCATTAGTTGGATTCGAATATGGTTTCATTGATGTACGTTGAACGATATTTACATGTTCATTTGTCATATTAACACTATCGGTAGCGTCTAAAGTGGGCAAAACGAATATAGACGACGCACGAGCCGATTTTGTTTGTTGAAAATGCTCATTGTTACTAACAGAAGATGACGAAGAAGATGATATGGTAGAACAATGAAGTGGTGGGGGTGTGGTGGCTGTTTTTAGTGACGATTGTTGTTGTTGACGGCAAGAAGATGATGCATCAGTACTTGATGGTTTACGTCGAGAAAATCGAACAGCTGCTGCTGCTGCTGTTGTGGGACGACTAGCTGTAAATCTTAATAAATTAAACAATCGTCGGCGAACACTTCCATTATCAACATTTGATGATTGACTATTTCCATTGAAACTTGTTGTTCCTGAAAAGTCACAGATATGTAGGAATGAAGCTGCTAGAGTAAACTAGAACTGTCTCTTTCAAAGGGTATTTAAGACAGGTGGTTTATTTTCAACAATTTTAGATATACCGTTTTATGAATTTCGTCTTACTTGAATTGGTACTATTTGTTGGCTGATTGTTAAAGCTCTGTGTTGTAACTGGTATAAATAAAAAATTTGACGTTGCTGGATTTGCTGTTGTTGATATAACTGTGGATGTGTTAAGCGGTGAACATTCCCTCGTTAGCGTCGCTGATGATTCAGTATTTGTATTACGTTTCATAGATGTACGTTGTTGACGACGTTTGGAAAACATTTTGAGTTTTACTGAATACTAAATAAAATAAAAATAGATAATAAATATAAAAACACTTTACTCTAAATTTACATGTGTCATCTCTACAATAGTGGAATTTTTATCAGTATCGTTTCCTAACACAAGTTTATTACGATGTTTCATTATTATCGTACTTGTTTGAAATGAAAACAAGACGCTAGAATCGATGACAAATGTCACCAAAGATAGAAACCTGTGAAATTATTTTTATTATACTCTTCTAAGTCAAATTCAGAAAACCAGAAGTGGCTAGAATACTTTTAACGAAATAACTTAAGTTACAAAACCTTAAAGTCCAACAGGAGTCGTTAGCAATATCATTGAGATAATACTCTTTTTCGCAAAAGAATGCAAAACTAAAATTTAAGAAATATCAGAAAAGAATTTACAATAATAAAAAAAACGTAGACACGGACTTAAAATTATAATTTTGTTAAACTGAAACCACAGAATGTATTTTTATATTTGAAAACTGTTAACCATCTGTTCAAACTACTTCATAAAAAACGTTCTTTCGGAAGAAATCTCTAAGGAGTGAACAAATTCTTACTTACTTATATATACATCATATGAAAGTGTGTAAAAAGTTTAACGGTGATTAACTACCACTCTCTACTTCCAGTATTATACGAAAATACGTTTATGGATCTTGAATGATTAATTAACACATATATTCTACGTTTGGCGATGATGTTTATACACCAACAAACAATAAAAAAGGTAAAATGCTGACACGGTGCAGTGTGAGAACAAGATTACTTTGTCTGCTCAAGTGTATAAATTCATCAACAGTTAATTCTTAAAGACGTGCGAGAGATGAATGCTCATTGCTTTTCTTCGCCCACTTTTCTTTCTTGCAGGATGACGAATCAGTGAATCATAATGCTGAGCGAACTAGAGTAAATGGAACCATTGTAGAAACACTAAACCTCCAAACTTGTACCACTATCAGTGTGCTATACATATATATGCTAGTTTATGATAAGCTAGAGGAGAATCAGCTGTTTTTTTGTCATCCATCATTAACTTCTTACTTCTTTGTTTGAAATTTGATATGAATTTATAAATTAGGGGGTGATTTGAGTAAATATAATTAAATTTAATATTAGTGTACGAATTACTGTGCTGAAATTCCGTTGTGTTCGTCGAAGTTGAGAGATGTCGCTTATTTGCGATAGTAACTGATGGGCTTCTCAATTTAGAGACACAGTATTTCTATTTCTTTATAACTTTCTTGTTTGTCATTGAAACTCAGTGACTACTATGCTTTATCAGGTTACTTTTTCGATTTCGATGAAATAAAACTCATTCCGAATCAAGCTTCAAGTAATTATTTAATAAGAACTGCCATTCCAGTCCAACTTCTTCCGATTATTTCCAACGCCATGACAGCTGTCTTAGTATCTGATTCCATATTAGGGAACAGATTTGTCGTTTTAGTGCACTTACATAACTTTAAGCAGAAGTTTTCTTCTTAGCGCTAAGTTGTATTTAAGTTGTCGTTCGAAAAACACACCTAGGTCAATCCTTATTTTTTCACTTCAGTTTTTTTAAAAACTAGCCCTTGAGTCATAGTATCCATCTCATGCATTATACAGACATCATTGAATCGAGTCAGAGAGGTATTACCGTCTGTGTATGCAGGCATACTGCTTGACAGCTCAAGACTAGGCATGCACCAGTTTCGGTTAACCGAAACCGATCATAACCGAAAATGTTGCACAAGTTCTTGAAAATACGTCTGACACAAAATGAAGGAAGGATCTGTTGTTCAATCAACAACTGTTCATCCCGGAAGAAAGATGCACGGTGTACAAAATCAGAAATAAGCCAAATAAGTGGTATTTCTGACTTTTCACCGTGAAGGAAGAGTTTCCCAAAATTGAGTTTAGCAAAAAAACTTAGCAATGTTAATTTCCTAGATTTTATTTGCTCGGCACACATTTATACAAATCAATCTTCAGAACGAAAAGCCGTAAATATTAGTTTTCATCGTGAAGGTCGATTTGTGTAAACGTGTGCCGAGCAAATAAAATCTAGGAAATTAACATTGCTATACTTTTGTTGCTAAACTCAATTTTGGGAAACTCTTCCTTCACGGTGAAAAGTCAGAAATACCACTTATTTGGCTTATTTCTGATTTTGTACACCGTGCATCTTTCTTCGTAGTTGAACAACAGATGCTTCCTTAATATTCTGTCAAACGTATTTTCAAGAACTTGTGCAACATTTTCGGTTATGATCGGTTTCGGTTAACCGAAACCGGTGCATGCCTAATTACATTCTATCGTGATAAATCAATGTATTTTATTTTGTTTACCTTGTTTCAATTCACAACAGGTTGTTTCTTCTGGACAAAATGATTTTTCATCTAAATAAGAAAAACAAAAGGATTATTAAGAAGGCATAAACAATCTTTTATTCTCTCTGTCATTCACTAACCTGGACATTGGACAGTGCGTAATGATTGTGGTTCATGTGTAGCTAATTTATTATTTATGGCTGTTGATGGAATAGTTTCGACTTTCATTGCTGGATGTTTCTTCAATAATGGTATGGAAACTCCTTCATATTTATCATGATCACATTTGAATACTTTCAAATCACACTTATAATGTGCTGGACAACCTTTGCAACCGAAAAAAAACCGCAATAGATAGATACGTATGAAATTCTTGAATACATACAATGTTTATGATCGGAACAACAAACCTAAGAGAAACAGAAGAAAAAACGGATTACGAGCTTGAAATACATTGAAAAACAGTCTGAGTGGGATAGAAACGTACAGCACTTTCTACCGGACAACATCCCCATGTAAATTCCGGTGTTATACAACAAGTAGATGTTGATGGACACAAACCTCAAAGTAGAAAATAAAAGAGAAAGAACTGAATATTGATGAACTGAAAACACGTGTCTTACTTGTCGCATCCGGACAAATGATTTGTGACTGTACAGCTAAACTTAATCGTTGGTATTTCTCTTCTTTGACATGAATGTCGACCATGGGTAGTGCTTCATCAGTTAAACTATTATCTTCTAAAATGAGATAGGAGAGTGATAAATAAATAATTCATAGAAATTAAAATTT